TATTCCCAGTCAGTTCACACAGCATATTTCCACTGGAACAGCACTATTAAGAGCCAACAAGCAATTTGAGAGCCAGCTCAACAATAAAGCAAAGCAAGGTTTCAAATGACACAGAACATAATGATCAGTTGAACTGAAAAGAAAATAACATACCCACCATCCAGCTTGACCACAGGAAGCATTTATGTTTCTATATGATTGAATATTGCATCGTGTTAGTACAGAACGCTTGAAGTGCATCATTTTTTTTATTATCTAGCACACAATGAAACCCCTCCTTTATTAAATGTCCTGCCAGATGGGAAAGCCATCTGTGTTTGTCACTTTGAGGCCCTCCCAAAATTTCATTCAAGGTAAACTCAGTGTGTGTGCATTGCACAAACTGAGAAAAGAAATTTTAAAGGTAATGTTGTGTATCTAATGTCAAACTTCAAAATGAAAAAAATATTAGCAGATTCAACAAGCTTGTGACAATTTACATCCTATTGCAAGATCTTCTTCATATGTTTTTCCCATGTATCCACTGACACAACAGTGCAATCTTACCACAACATTCGAAGGTCAAATTTAAGCAAACACATCTTTTCCAATGCCTCCCGGGGCCGGGGGTGAAAGTGAGAACATCTGGTTTAATTGGCTGCCCCGCCAAATCTGTTATTTAAATATAGACATGTGTGGTATCCATAGAAACGTCAGAATCTCTGTGCAGGAAGTGTACTTCGATACCAGTTTACATCTTTATTTTCTCTCTCTATTGTAAGGTAGACCCACTATTCTGCCTTTTTTGTTTGCTTATTACACACCAGTCTACCGTTGTGTAGTATTTTTGGCCACTGTTTTCTTTTTCCCCCCAAAAAATGACCTCTGACAAGAAAGCCAAATTTTTGCTATTCAATACCAGATTGCTTCACAGCAGCAGCATTAATCTTTGCACAGGTAATGTCCATATGTTGATTCATTGTTTTCTTCAGTTTTTGATCTACTGTAGCATATTTTCAAGGGAGCTATATGCTATAAAAAGACCAGGCCAAGAAAAATTCCCATATATTTTTGTGTTTTATCCAGTGGCATCTGCTCTGATGCGCACACCTCTGGTTAAGTCTCACAAGTACCAAGATGGTTTTGGTACCAAGATGGTTTACACACAGTTTGTAATTGAAGAGAACTACTCAATTATTTTTGGGCAGTTGCAGCTGTGGGGAAAAGATCTCAGAAGAAAAAACAACAACAAACAAACAAAAACAACATCAAATTACAGTAACAACAACCTTGAGTAGAGGCTGATTCCAAGAGACATTCGCAACACAAACACAAACTCTAAGTTGATTAACTCATAGATCGGCAACTCTGAGTTTTCTGTTCCAGAAGACCTGATCAGAACTCAGTCAACTCATTGAATTAGTTCAATGAGTTTGTCCATGCAGAGCACTTGTGCGAATACACAAAGAAAGCCATCATCAGTGGAGCTCACTTACCATGGGTATGGGACAAATAAGCCATTCTAAATGGATCCAGAACAGATCTGGATTGGATGATGGAATGAAATGACAGAGTCAGCTTAGCCTCATCCAGAATTGGTTTTAGATCTGTCCTATTGTGCAAGTGGACCCAGACACAGACCCAGTTTGCTGATCCATTATGGAGTCTGATACGTTTGGGTAGTTCTGGTCCTGAGTTACTGGTACCTGGGTAGATACACTGAAACTGCTTTACATTACCTCATTTACTGGTTAAGTTAACCATTTTTCTGGAACAGAAAACCAGTTGTTAGTTTATTCCAACTTTGTTTTATTGATTCCAACAATGACATACAAAGTTAGCAACAGCAAAGTCAATCTTGATTCCAGAACAGTTGTATGTCCATTATACCCTCCAACCCCCCAACCCGAATTCTCCCCCTACCAGGTCCACACTAGACAAGACACCGCAGAGAACCAGTCTCTGCCCACACACACACACACACACACA